GGATAGGGTTAAAGGAGCCGCTGATTCAGGGGCTCTGGCTCACTCAGGCCGGGGGGAGGGAGGGGCGTGGAGTGCGGGGCGAGCCTGCGGCGATGGATGCCGGCGTGACGTTGCACCAGCCTGAGGCGCGCCGTGCGTTCTCCCGGGGGAGTTGTCCCTGGATCCCGGGACTCTGGCAGTGGCGGGCTGCACAGGCTCCCCGGAAGGGGGGGTGTGTGGATAGTGACCTGTGCTCGCACACAGGCTTCTTGGTGGCAGCAGCAGCAGCCTTAGCGTCTCATTCCCGTCTCTGGGGTCCGCGCTTTTAGTCGCAGCTCGCGCCCCTTTCTGGAGCTCCTTTAAGCAGAGCTCTTAATCCCCTCTCCTCGCGCACCAGGAAACAAAGAGGGAAGAAAAAGTCTCTTGCCTCTTTGGCAGGTCCAGACTTTTCCCCAGACTCCCTCCCAGCTAGCCGTGGCGCAATAACCCCCTGCAGGCTGTGTTCACGCCGCCAACGCCAGTCCTCTCCCTGCGCTCTGACCTGAAGCCCAAGCCTCGGCTCGCAGCTCCGCCTGCCCCGGCGGGTGAGCAGACAAGCGTCTCGGGCTGGTGAGTGCCGTTCGGCACCGATCCTCTGTGCGGGAATCTCTGCGGTTTGACCTCCGCACCCCTGTTGCTGTGCTCTTCCCCGCGGCTCCGAAGCTTTCCCCCTCCGCCACCCATAATCTCCGCCTGCAAAGGGACTTCCTAGTGTGTGGAAACCTTTCCTCCTTCACAGATCCCTCCCACTGGTGCAGGTCCCGTCCCTATCCTTTTGTCTCTGTTTTTTCTTTTTTCTTTTGCCCTACCCAGGTACGTGGGGGGATTTCTTGCCCTTTGGGAGGTCTGAGGTCTTCTGCCAGCATTCAGTAGGTGTTCTGTAGGAGTTGTTCCACGTGTAGATGTATTTCTGGTGTATCTGTGGGGAGGAAAGTGATCTCCGTGTCTTACTCTTCCGCCATCTTCCCGGAAGCTGAATCTAGAGTATTTTTAAAGATAATATCAGTTTATTTTGTATCATGTCACTTAATTTCTCTATCTCATTTAGTTTGCCATATCATGAAATTACACAGAATAGTCACAGATTCTACCCAATTTCTTCTGCTTTCAAAAAGACCTAGAACCCTTACCTTGTCACTAGAGTTATCTTTCTGAAACACAGGTTGTGAGATCCATCATGCTTGTCAGCAAAAACATTTAATGTCTTTCTGTTGCTTTAGAAAGTGTCTTTTCTTTTTTAAGTTTGGCACTCAGAGCTCTCAACTACCTCGTCCAAATTCTTTTTCAAAGTCCCTGACACCAGATGCCCACTACATTCAGTCATGTACTTCTTGCTCTGCCATGCCCTTTTACACTCTTCCCCAAGCTGATTTCTAACTCAGGGGTTCTCACTGTGCTCCCAGATGGAGGAGCAGCCCAGCTTCCCCAAGGTTCCTATTAGAAATGCAAATTCTCAGGCCCCATCCTAGACCTACTGAATCAGAAACTCTGGGGGTGAGCCTACGGACGCATATGTTAACAAACCCTCTAGGTAATTTCAATATATGCAAGTGTTTGAGAGGCTCTGGGTTAGCTCTCTTTGTCCTACTTTCTTTATTATTGCATTCTTACATCTGTAGCTATCAACATTGCTAGAATAACCACTGTATTATTCTTCCTAGAGAATTAATTTGTAAATCAGTTTTATAAGCATATATTGTGCCAGCCATTGGCCTTCCAAATGAATAACATACCTATATTCCTATGATTTTCTTGCTATATCAGTCATTTTTCCTTTAGGTAAGTATTTCTTATCCTGTTTTAATGTATTTTATGCATACAAGTCAATGAACCAGGGCAAGAATGAACACCTTTTCTTAATGATCCTCTGGATCACTTATTCTAAAATCATTGAATGCCTGCTTTGAGCCAGGCATTGTCTATGATTCAAAGCCGTTCCTTCAGCCGTGGTTCATTGAATAGGCCTGGTAATACAGGACCATCCCTCCATCTCTCCCTTTTTCCTCAGCTAAACTGAAAACATACCCAGAAGAATTACGGCCAGTGTGTCTAAAGGCCCAAGAGAACCCTCCACCAGACATACTTGTAGTTTTATGACCTTGGGAAGATCATCTTTCCCCAGAGTCTTACATTCATCGTTGGTGGAAGTAGAGATGGTAAGGGTTTTTTCCTTTGTATATATGGGCTCTCATGGGCTGGAATTTATGAGCTTCCATAGAGCTCTGTGGTGAGGCAGGGCTCAGGTCCTACTTTTTTCTCCACTGCCATCTGAGGAAGTGTGTTTTGACCTCTGATCAACACCTAACCCCATGGCTGGCACAGAGTAAAGGCCTACTAAACAACTGTTGAATGAATGGAAGAAATAATGAAGGAATGATGGATGGACAGAAGGATAGAAGGAAGAAAGGGAGAGAGAGAGCGGGAGGAGGGAAAGAGAAGGAAGGAAGGAAGGGAAGGAGGGAGGGAGAGAGGAAGGAAGAGAGAAGGAGGCAGGGAGATGGCTAAGGGTAGATCAGACACAGCTTCTGATGTGGGGAAATGCTTATGGGAGACAGGTAGAATTGGAACTCCAATACCTAACCTGTGCCAGATACGTAGGTAGATAGATAGATAGATAGATAGATAGATACATACATACATACATAGACAGATGTACAGACAGGTAGATAGATATGCTCTAACAGTAAATTAACTTCCATTTGGTTCCGTCCCCCTGGAGGATGTTTTCAGCAGCTCCTCCCTGGTGCAAAGCATGAGGCCTCTCTGCAAGTCTGAGAAAAGGGCTTTGTGAATTATAAAGCAGACTGCAGATGGTGATTAACTAAGGCATCACAAGCAAGGACGAGTCTCCTCAGCAGTCCCAAGAGAGACTATTTTGACTTCTTTTTGTCATTTGAATTCTCAAAATTGTCCCCAGCTTAGACCATATCAACCTCAAATGGTCTATGATTTAAATTTCCACTCTAAAAATCTAAGCAACTTGGGAATTGTAGGAACTGGACCACTTGGAGATAATTTATAAATAACACTGGCCTTTCAAATGGCCTGTCTTCCCAAAGAGCCCTCTGTCCTGTCAGTGGGACTGCTCCCAAGGCCCAAACTGCTCAATTGGGCCAGCAACACTGAAGTCGCTGGTGGGAACATCTTACTTCTGATTCTTCTAAGAATTTTGGACACTTTATTGAAACATTTGTTTTTCCTCATATAAAATGTAGACTAAAAAGTTATTAGCTATCTTTAGGTTTGGAAAGGCTTTCAGGATTTTAATGCATGTGATTCGCTCAGCATTTACTTTGTCTACTGCTAAAATAGTTGAAACTCAAATCGAATACTAAGCAGAGCCCAAAACATCCTGGATACATAGTGATGTTCAGGGGCGTTAAACAATGACTAAGCCCTCCGCTCCTTTTTCACAGAATTCTGTGGACATGAAAGGGAGCCATTAACACCATCTTTTCCCCTCCCTTTCTTTCAGGTCAGTCCTGGTGGGCACAGCCTTAGCCTGTGTTTGTCTGTGCCTCTGAAAGGCCAGTCCAGCTGTGTTAAGCTGGACAGTAGTGTTTTGCGGGACCAAGGCAGACAAGACCATGCAGAGCTGACTGGCCTGGGAAATGATCCCTGTTATCATATGTCTGTTGGGCTCTCACGTTGATATTTTTTTCCTTGCCTCTGCCGGGCTGGAGTGATCGAAGTCTCATGTCTGTTCACACTCTGGGGTTATGATACATCTCATCAGCCCTCATTACTGCTCAGGGAGGGGCAAAATTTTTAAATGGTCAAGTTCAAAGGAGAGTGCTGCTAGCTCTGATCTCTGTTTCTCTAGCAGAATTCCACCAGCCCCATTCCTACACCTAAAATGCACACGCTCAGCCCTCCCCTGCCCCTGGCTGGGGATATCTGAATTTATACACATGCCTGCAATTGGCTCTGTGGACTGGAGGTCTTCACATTGCTTCTCAAGGATCCACTAATGGCAAATGACAAAACTGACCAGCTGGCGCAGGAGAGAGTCATATTGAACTCCTTGCATGAGAAACAAGACATTTATAAAGCAGGGCTTTTCTGGTGTTGAGGTGAACATTTTTTCATTTGGGAAATATACGGCATAATACACAGAGGTGTGCGGTTTCAAATATAATGGGCACGTGTACATGTTAAGACAGAACACATACCCATTTCTGAGAACACTGTTCAGCTTGGAAAGCATCTGAAAAGGCAGCTTCATAGTGGGACTCTTCTCCGTTTCTCTCTGGGTCCCACAGAGTTGTTCTTTTTATTTATTTATTTTGTATTTGTTTATGCTGGGTCTTAGTTGCGGCTCACTGGCTCCTTAGTAGCAGCAGGCAGGCTCCTTAGTTGCGGCACGTGGTCTCCTTAGTTGCGGCAGGCGGGGTCCTTAGTTGCGGCTCACAGGCTCCTTAATTGTGGCATGTGAACTCTTGGTTGTGGCATGCATGTGGAATCTAGTTCCCTGACCAGAGATCCAACCTGGGCTCCCTGCATTGGGAGCACAGAGTCTTATCCACTGCACCACCAGGGAAGTCCCCACAGAGTTGTTCTTTGCGTGGCCTCCACCCCTTCTCTTTTGTTCCCCTTATGTTTTATAGCATTGCTTTTCTAACGGGGGAAAGAAAGTTCCTAGGGATGTGTATCAGCATTCCTATGTATACTTTAAAAAAAATATGTCATATTATAACAGAATTCCATAATTTGGGAACCAATAAAAGACTACTGTTCTCATAATATAAGCAAAGAAAGTAAAGTTTGACAAGTTCTCTTTGCTGGAGGAAATCTGCAGCATGAGTCTTCAAAGGGGGCACCTGCTGGGGGTGCAGTCTCATCTTCCTAGGTGGGTCACGGCAAGATCTTCTTGGGTGGTCGAGCATAACATTTTTGTTTATAAAATAGGAAAAGAAAACATTTTTAAGGTTCAAAACAATTCTGGGCAAAGATAACAGGAAACACCTGTATCTTTCCTGTAGGATCAAACTTGAGGTGACTGAGCTGAGACAGGAGTCCCCCTGCCAAGGTAGGAGCCACATATTCGGGGCCTTTGGTCCAGGATCACGATGAGAAAGGTAAGTGTTGTGTGTGAAGACAGCCGTGGCTTCAACAACACAGGCTTTGCCTTCATTGCGTGGACATGGTTGCCCTAGGCAGATGGAAAGAGAAAGAGGATTGAGGGCAGTGAGTCCAGCAAGGGGCCTCAGAATGGCGCCTGCAGAGCTGGCAGCCAGGAGGCTGCAGTAGCTTTCCTCAAGATGCAGTCGTGAAGCATGTGGGGAGGAAGAGGGACAGAGGCTCCTTCCTCATCTTCACTGATGGTGCCCTGGTTAGGGGGTGGGAGCAGAGGCCCCACCTGAGCAGAGCAGACAGCAAAGTTAATTCCTGAAACTCTTAGCGGGGAGGCAGCTCTCTGCAGGTGACTTCATGGTGTCACTTCTGCAGGGCCTTCTGAACCTACCCAGGTGTGTTAGTCCCACAGTCTTCATGCGCAATGGCTCTGGGGCACAAAAAGAGTGAGTTGGATAAGAGTGGCGACACAGGGGACAGCATCAGAATCATAGCAAGCAGATCTAATAAGTGAGTTAACGGTGAAAAGAAGAGAAAGCCCAGTGAGCACCAAATGCCACAAAAATCCCCATGTCCCACAGCTGTAGATGGGACAGGTGAGGACAACTGGGACACAGTTTTGTGGAAGAGCTGGTGGGACACTGTTTTGGTGAAAGGATAACCTCCCTGTCATGCTAGGGGCGCATAGTAAGCAGCACCAGGGGAAATGAAGCTGCAGAACAGGATGGGCCTGAGAGAGGGCTCTAAGAGCTGAGCATGGCGCCAGCCAACATGCGGCAAGGAAACCGGGACTTCAGTCTTCTAACCACAAGGAACTGGATTCTTCCAACACCCTGAATGAGCTTGGAAGTGAATTCTTCCCCAGAGCCTGCAGATAAGAGCCCAGCTAGCCAACACTTTCCTGTTGGCCTGTGAGACCCTAAATGGAGAACTCAGCTAAGCCCACTCAGACTTCTAACCTGTAGAAGTAGAAATGATATGTGAGTGTGTTAAGCCACTAAGTTTTTGGTCATTTGTTGTGCAACAATAGAATAGTAATACAGCAGCCATGCTCATTCATGTATGTATCGTTTGTAACTGCTTTTACAATACACCTGCAGAGTTAAGTAGTAACAACGGAGACCTCATGGCCTGCAAAACCTAAAATATTTACTATCTGGCTCTTAACAGAAAAAGTTTACTAATCTGTGCTTTAATCAAAAACGTAACCTCACCTCAGATATGTTTAGTGAGAGTTTTATGCCCGACCCAAGGCTTGCAAGAAACAGGACTTACATCTAGGAACGCTCAGCAAATATGCCTTTCATCAAACTGAAACAGGCCAAAAAAACGAGTAGATACGAGGCTGTCCTGCAGACCCATTCTCCATTCCAGTTTTTAAAAGGCTGGCGGGGAGAGAAAGAGAGAGAGAGGGAGGGAGTTCATTCATACATTCAGAGGAAAGAACTCAGAGCGATGTGTACCATCTGCATATTGGAGATTGTCATTTTCCACATTATGAATTTTTATAGTAGTTAAATTTTGTGTAACAAATTTGTACTAAATTAATAATAATTATAACCATATGATTATTAAAGGGTACATTTATTAAAGGGTACATTGTGCCCCACTGTGTGCTCCTTGGAGCAGTGGCCTGGAGGAAGAGAAGGTATGAAAGCTATTGCTTTGTGATCAGAACTTGAATTCACTCCGCTGATTCTTGACTTTTCCTCCCTTCATGATGCCCCTTCTACCTTCATAGTGGGACAAGTCAGGGTGATGCAATTCTTCATTCACCATTGTTGTTTATCTAGAAGAGTAATTATCAACCATTTTAGAGTTACAATGCCCTCTAGACACACACACACACACACACACACACACACACACACACACACACAAGATTTGGCATGGTATGTATTTAGCTAAGTTGAATTAAAATTCATATGATTCTGAAGATTGGAAGAAAGAGTTGAAGAGTTATATTGGTACCCTCAGGCTGTGATAACCAATTGCCACAAACTGGGTGGCATAAAACAACATACATTTATTCTCTCACAGTTTTGGAGGCCAAAAGACTGAAATCAAGGTGTTTTCAGAGTTGGCTCCTTCTGGAGGGTCTGAGGGAGAATCCATTCCATGCCTCTCTCCTAACTTCTGATGGCTGCTAGCAATCCTCGGAGTTCCGTTGGCCTATAGCTGAATAACTCCAGTCTCTGCCTCCATTTTCACGTGGTCTTCCTCTTCCTGTGTCTGCGTCTCAAGTCTGTCTCTGCCTTTCTCTTTTAAGGACACCTGTCATTGGATTTAGGCGACCCTAAATGCAGGATGATCTCATCTTGAGATCCTTGATTATACGTACAAAGACTGGTTTGCCAAATAAGGTCACAATCCAGGTCTTGAGGGTTAAAACTTGGGTATATCTTTTTGGAGGCCCCAATTCAACTCACTACAGAAAGTATTTGCATGTTCCTGTAGGTGATAGCAAAAACTTTTTCTCAATTTCCTAACTACCAATTAAAATCAATAAATCTGTCCTATATAGTAGGAAGAATTGTTTTGCTTTTTCTCATGGGGCTTAATGAATACCCAGCTCCTCTCATCTCACGATCCTGTGAATATAGATGGGACAGTTCCTCAATGGCAAGGCCTGTGAGAGATGCCAAAACCTTCGCCACTGTCCTATATGGGTGTCCCCACCCTCTCTTGTCCTTTTCATCCATTTGGACAAAACCCAAGTTAGGGCAACATTAGGTGTGTCAACAATCAGGGTAGTTATCCTCAAGTGTTAAGTCTAGGATAGAACCCTGTGGAGTCTTTCTGTAGGTGGGAAATTGTTTGTGCTCTCTAGCAGAGGAGTATGGGTCTCTCCAGAAACAAGTCCATGCCACTATTGTCCATTTGGCCTTGGGAAAATCTGATGTTGTGATCTGGGTTCTCTCTCTGTAAAGAAGGTACGACAATGCCTTGCTACCTTACCAGGGTGTTGTGTGAATTTGCTGACACCCGTAAAGCTCCCTGAAAATGAAGAGGCTTACATAAGTCCCTGGTATTATTCACACAGCAAACGTTTTCCCCTGAGAATAAAGTAATAAATGGTACCATTGTGCAGCTGGTGGAACGTATTCAAAAGTTTCCGTTCACAACTAGTAGATCAAGTTGTGGGTGGCTGTATGGACTTTCTGTGCTCATGCCAAGCTGCATCCAAAACAGCGGCACAATGGACTCTCCTGGAATGAAAAGCTGCACTGTAAGAGACGGCCACATCATGGCATTGCATCATATAGGACAGTCCTGTGTAGCCAGTGATTTCATATGCACCTCTTCGTTATGGCAGAAAGGAACAATAGCAGAAACAGTGGCCACATGGATATCTAACGTGACAGCTATTGAGAAGCAACTATCTTCTTCCACCACATTGACAAACTTCCCAAGCCTATGGATGCTCACGATTGAGGGCAGGAGGAGGGATTATAATTATAGCTCTTCTTTCTTTTTTCCTTTCTGAATTCTTGGGCCAGGAAAAGCCAGCGTTCTAAATCAGATGGTGTACAGGTTAAGGACCTATTCTCTTTAAATACAATTCATCTGGGTGGGAGTATGTGGGAACAGTCTGGACAGAATGCTACTGGCTGGCCTAGGAGATAAGAGAGGATTGCTTTTCCACCATTATAAGCCCTGGAAATACTCCAGGACATGATGCCAGGAAAATGCCTTCTTTCTTTTTTTTTTTTTTTAATTTAATGTAACTTAATTTAATTTAATTAATTAGTTAATTTTGGCTGCTCTGGGTCTTAGTCGCGGCATGTGGGATTTTCGTTGCAGCATGTTTAGCTGTGGCATGCGGACTTCTTACTTGCGGCATGTGGACTCAGTTGTGGCATGTGGACTTATTAGTTGCAGCATGTGGACTCTTAGTTGCAGCCCACGGACTTCTTAGTTGCAGCATGCGGACTCTTTGTTGCAGCATGCATGTGGGATCTAGTTCCCCAACCAGATATCGAACCCAGGCCCCCTGCATTGGGAATGTGGAGTCTTACCCACTGGACCACCAGGGAAGTCCCGCCTTCTTTTCATTTTGGGACTTTCAGCCTCTGGATGCCACATCTGAGATGACAGATATTTTGATTAAATAAGAGGAAGATTAGCTACTGAAGATACTGCATTTAATTTTTAAAAGTAATCATGTTCGATTAGAAATATTTGGGGATTACATTAACAAACTTCCTTGGATCAGGGTTATCCCTTTGGTGGTCAATATTCTCACGTTAAAGAGCTGAGGAGGAATCACAGATCATGGAATTTTTTAGCTGTTAGTGGTCTATCTTGATATTAAACTATTTGATAACTTTTTAAATCCCATAGACAAGCTTGCATTTTTTCCCTCTTTTTGTTCAGTGACACCAAAATTAGAAAAGAAGATCTTTCTAAGTATTTAAGCTTTGAAGTTGGTTAAAACCTTTAGATTGTAATGCAAAGGCTATGGAGAAGGATTGTGCAACCCACAGGGTACATTGGATTCCCTCTGGCCTCTCCCTCCCACATTTCTGTCACATCCTGTTTTCAGAGAACCTTTCATTCATTCATTCAGTGCCCATTTATTGAGCACCTACTATACCCTAGACAGTGTGCTAAGTGCTAGGGGTACAAAAAGATGATGGGTGCACAGCCACTGCCCTCACCTAGTGAGGAGCAAAGTGATGTGTATCATCATGGAAGCAAGGTGAGAGCTAGAATAAGTGAAGGAACATGGGGTGTTCCAGGACACGTAAATAGGTCAGTATTCTTGGGAGAGTAGAGTTTGACTGGGGGAGTTGGAGGAGGATGGCAAGAAGCAATGGGAATTTAGGCAGGTTGTGGGCAGGAGAGATGATAGAGGGTTTCATATGTGCTACAGATGAATATGATGTATCCTTTAGGTGATAGGGAGGCCATGGAGTACGCATCCTGGCAGCAAGATTAAAGATGGCTTGTAAGGGAGTAAGACCGGGAATAAGGTCAAAGCAAGAATCCCGGAAACAGGGGA